GCGGCGGTCTCTATTCTCGGCCAGGCTAGTAACAATCAATTCAGTAGCCTGGAGTCACGTAGCGGACGAGGAACATGTAATCCAACTGAGAAGCATGCCTCATAGGGTTTTGAAACAACCGCGTCTCGGGCGCTTTTAGTCGCTTAGAGTGTCCAATTTCTTGCCTAATATGTTGTTAAAAGACAGGCCGACATCAAGATTTGCTGGCCCTTCGACGTAGACGTCCAGTTATCCAACTTGTTGGTCTTGGAGGATTCTTCGGCATTAAAGTTTAACTGTTTAAGCACGTAGTCAATGCCAACAGTGGTGGCGCCGGGGAGTGTTCCGCTAGATAATAGAACACACACCCAAAGCCATCCTGGCTGGCGCTAAAGGCATGCATTTCGAGCGGAAATCAGACAGAGAATGTAAACTCTCTTCCGGCCGCGTATCTCTCAACTAGAAATAAACGTAAGAATGCAAAAGTATGCTAGGAGCTCCAGTTGTGGTTACGCAACACGATTGCATGTCGACAACAGCAAGAGTCGAAAACTAGATCATGTAAGTAAGATCGTACAAGTCAATTATTTTTCCAAAGTGCTCATTAAAATTTATTAAGAGATGAGTATGTTTTTTTCCGAGGAAAAAAAAACGGTAGCATCGGTGTTTCACCGAAAAATAACCTCGGGTCACATCGGTAGTGTTAGACCTCAGGCGGCGGTTAAGTTGTTCTCTCTCTGCCCAGGACAAAAAGTCAAGGACAACTGCGTATGCTCATAGTATTCATTTAAAAAGCTAAAAACCAAATCACAGCGTTGGTTCTGTTTCAAAAGTAGACGGCGCCGTAGGATTCTAGCTAGATGAGTACCGGGCAACGGACAGGCAGGTAGGAGACGAGGAGCCCTGCGTAACTATTATCGGAGGAAAGAGGAGATGGCGTCGCATAGGGGACCGGGCGCGTCTGTGTGGACCCAGTGTCCAGCATTAGGAATTTCGATACGCTCGGCTCGGGGGAAGAAGTGATTCACTTCGTTCATGGTTTCCGGTCTTGAAGTGAAAAGACGGTCAAAAAATGAAGGAGAGTATAAAGTTCACAGTGCACCTCATGCAAACTAATATCCGTAGACTGTTGCAGGTGGGCGAAAAGTATGGCTTGCAAAGATATGAAATTTCATTTAATGCACTAAAATGACTTTGCTAGAGGACTGTCCAAACCAGACTGATGTGCTTTTTTTGAAAGCTCCCTTGCTTTGGTGGGGAAATGGGTAAAAATTTATACGATCTATAAAACTGGGGATCAAACTGCCAACAATTATCACTTATCGAGACCAACTTACACAACGACAACCACGGGAAAATAAATGCTTAACAAGTGCTCGAGAAAACGATTGACAAAATCACATCCACTTGCCCAACTCACAAGTATCGGCAGAATAATTGAGGTGTTAACCAGAAGAAGCCTGAATTGATGCTGCGTATGCTGACTTAGAGGCCTATAATGGTGTATTACACAGAAGAATGCCGTCTGGATTTCAGGAGTCAAGTCAAGTTTATTAAAGGAAATATAGGCAAACGCCTTTGAACTCCCTATTAGTACATAGTATTTAAGAAGTGCATCGGCACAGCCGT